GGCAAGAACTTAAAAATAACGAAGACGATTAAATATCTAGGAGTCACTTGGGATCAAAGACTCACCTGGTTACCGCACCTCCAAGAAATACGTACAAAAACATCGACCATCGCAAGGAAAGCCAGGCAATTTCAAGGGAGAAATTGGGGACAAAACCCCCATATCAGGAAACTATTATATCTGACAGTGGCAGAGAGAATAATTCTCTACGCAGCAGTCATATGGGCACAACCAATGAGCAGCCGAAAGACCAAGCTACTGACCACAATTCAACGGCCGTTTGCATTAAACATCTGCGGAGGTTATCGCACACAACAGCGTCCAGCGCCGCCACGATACTTGCAGGCCTGCTGCCATTACACATAAAGGCAGAGGCAGAGGCTACCTATGTACGAATCACTCATCACAGACAAGAAGCCACATATGCAGGAATTACGTTCAGAACAACAGACTATGAACTCCCTGGCAGTGTGCAACACATCCACCCTGCCATCAAAGGTAGAGGGATCCATGTCAAAATCCAACATCAGCCATCGCACTCCAGACAACGCACTTCCTGTGCGATTACACAACTGTTCACTGATGGATCAAAACATGATCAGGGAGTGGGCTGCGCGTTTGCTCACTACGAACATGGCACACTAGTAAAGGAATGGAAAGGACATCTCACTAACAGCAATAGTATTTCCAAGCAGAGGCACTAGCAATATTGAATGCGCTACGACATGCCCTCAACCTTTCCCTTACCAATGCGACTTTTTACACACAGATAGCATGTCAGTGCTACACGCACTCAGGGATAATCACCACACTTCACCCATCATCATAGATATACAGCAACTTTTACGCAATAATCATCAAGCCCGCTTTAACATGGTATGGGTGAAAGGACACTCCGACAACGAAGGGAATGACGTCGCAGACCGACTGGCTAATGAGGCTGCCAACAACATCCACGCTCAAACTATAAGAGCCCCTACCCCCGTCTCACACCTCAAGAAAACTCTGCGTAACATCTGTAAAGAAAAGTGGCAAGAAGAATGGAATAGTGGCGACACAGGGAGAAGGACGTATAACTTCCTACCAAAGGTAGACACGGAACGTCTTATAACAATAGCCCCACTGACACAGTACATAACGGGTCATGGCCCATTTCCATCTTATTTTATGCGTCATGGCATCTCAGCATCTGACAATTGTGTCTGTGGCATGCTAGGTTCTCCCGAGCACTACCTATTTGACTGCAGTCTAACAACAAACCACCACTTACCACATCCAACGAATGATAGAACACTTTACTATCGTTTCATAATCAAACACCCGCCAGCTATAAGGAGCATCTGCGCAGTTGTACAGCAAATCAACGCCCTAGGGCAAGACATTTGCGAGCCACAGTAGCATGGTACTGCAGACAATGTACTCAACTATTAGATATTCGCAGTATGTACACATTCTGTAATACACATTCCACATTCAATTTCGAGCCTCGTGTTAACATCTGCTTTCAATAGCCACCAACTTGCAGAATATAATGTTACTGACATGTTTATCAGTGTAAAGCACTGGGCACCCAATGGAATGATGTGTTATCGTAAATCGAAATATATAATATCCGTACAATGCACGAATGTAGTGTATGCAACGAAATATGTAATTCATGCAACAGAAGCCCCTAATGAAAGTATGTACATTATGTATTATGGGAACTGAGCATATTTCCGCACAGCACTACTGCTTTACGCACACCTTACTATGTCTTCATATGTTTCCTCTGAGTGTAATATTTGCATTTATGTGCTCTACGTGTTTCCATATGTATTCTATGTGTCATGATATGTATTTTCGTGTGTGTTTTCTATGTCTTTATGTTACGTAATTACGAGTGTGTTTTTATGCTTTTACGTTTAATTTTGTATATCTATGTGTTTCAGCTTATATGAGTGTTTTAGTGTTTTAATGCTATCCTTTATATTCTTTTCTAAGTTACTTTGTGTTATTAACAACGTCCTATGTAAAAACTACCCGACATCTAGCCCCTGTATGGCCATGTAAACTCCTGGTGCAGCCTCACGGGGCTCCAGCGAGTTGCTTCTTCGAGATAGTGGAGGACGTGGGACATATGCCTGTTTACCTATGTTATACGTCAGGCGTCCCCGTCCTCCGTCACCTGTCACCTGTACAGACACGTTTATAAAGACATGCAAAATATTGTTTCAGATCTCGCTGTTGTTTTTGCCATAATACAATATTATGATTTAACGAAAAGCATTGTTGTAAATGATAATATTCTTAATCTTTAAATCTTTATTTTTTTAAGCACCTTTCAATGTCGCATACAAGATTTTGAATAATTTGAGGTTTATACGAAAGTCATAGCCTCAGTTGGAGAGTACTTTTCGAATTCAGAATCAGTGGAAACTTGGAACTTCGAGCTTAGAATCAAGGAAAAAATTAGGCTTTATTAAAGGTTTTGCCTGGCAGCTGTACTGGAACTAGACTCAACAGCTCTTTGAATTACTTCAAATCACAGCCTTCCGCTAATTTTTGAAAGTTTCTTTTAATCGATCTGAAATAACTTCTAATTTTTGAAAGTTTCCTTTATTCAATCTAAGCTTACTTCTAATTTTTGAAAATTTATTTGATTCAATCTGAAATTACTTCTTACAGATTGTTCTTGCAGACAATGAAAGAACAATGACAGGAAAGTGATTTAGGAAAGTTGTAGATATTTATTTTAAATAACCAATTTTATTTAATTTGAAGATTTCCTTATAAGCCTTCATTCCCCTAATTGAATAATAAAATTTCGTAGCGCGCGCGAAGGAATGCCAGAATATTAAAATTTGGTAGTGCGTGTGAAGGAATGCAAATTCTACCTTGTAAAGAAAGAATTAAAAAAACTGAGGTTCAGAAGGAAAGTTAGAGAGAGTTAGGCTATTGCCGTCACCTCAGTAGAGCGAGCTTCTACCCCCAGAGGCATATAAGCATTCTGTACCGCGCTACGTGCATAGCGAAAAATTCATCCTCGTGATTGGATACGGCTTCCGATGACATCATTTCCTCTAGGCTTAGGAATGCCTTAACTTTGCTTGGGCTCGAATGTACACCTCCACACCGTTTGTTTACATTTTGATAGCAGTATAGAAGTACCGAAAGGATTATTATCGTTAATGAAGTGTGTTGCATTTTTGTTGCAGATTACTCTTATTACGGCACTGTTGTATGGTGACGTAGTCCTTTTATTTTTCATAGAGAGGAAAGTCAGTATTTCTTCTAGTGCGCTAACTCCGTAAATATGTATCACTATTAAATTTAGAGGTTTTAAATAAATGTATTCTTAATTTTAAAGCCTTCATATTAAAGGTTTTGTAATTATTAATTCATTGTTTCATGCTCATTAAATATAGATTCTTTGTAGATGCAATCTCCGAAAGCATGAGACAAGTCAGTTTTCACAAACAACAAAAACGTCGGAGCTAACAGTAAATTCACGATATTTGTAGTCTGTCTGAAAAAGTAAAATTTATTTTTGAAGTTAGACTATTATAGATTTGGAATACAGAAACAAAGGTACGTATGCATAAATTGAATATTTCTCATGAATATGTACTTTATGAATATTGAATATTGCCAATTCTTTAATGCGTAAAATCTTTTGTACATTTGTATAAAAATAGTGTTTATCAGAAAGGAAAGTTTTTTTCTTATACACGCGTATTCAGCGAATATACTGAATGCATATTTTTCCTTCATTGAAGGCAACAGAATAAAGTGTGAAAGACATGGACATTGACATGGAAATAACATATACAGTTGCAAAGAAAATATTTTTTGCAATGTGAAATGAACAGATTGGAACAAAATTTCAATAATAATATACTTACTGGCATATATGCCTTTACATTTGAGTCGAGATCGTCGTGTAACCTAATGTGTTTTGTTTTTTTTCCTAAATTTATGAACTCAGTTACTTATATAATCTAAGCATTTAAGATTGCACTTGATATTAACAGCGTCTTTGAAGGATTTTATAATTTTATTTTTGCATAAATAGGATGCCATCTGCAGAAGGCTGCATGTCAATTTTTGAGTCTGGCATAATTATTCAAAGAATATAAATGATAAGTTCACGCTTCCGTATCAATCATGCGCGTCCTTCAACGAAAACAAGACTGTGGTGTGGTGTATTTGATTACGTCAAAGCACACTATTGCTATCTGCTTATGGGGAGGGATGCCTTCGTGGAGGACTTTCTAAGGGAAACTGGCTCGTATACACGTTCCACATGGGGAAAACCACGAAAACACCCATGCAGCCAGCCCGTTCGCGGGATTTGAACCTCGGATCGAACTACCACTGTTCAGCGACTTTACCGCTCGGCCGCTGGTGGCCGAAAACAAGACTGTAAAAAATCTCGCTAAACGTCATTACGCGAAAAGAAAATGATGTCATAGGAAAATATGTCGAATCACAAGAACGGAATTTCCTCTGTGCGCATGGAGCTGTACAAAAATGCTTATATGCCTCCCGGAGTATTTCTGGTTTACGTGGCTTAACCGCATTTACTTTGCTGCCACTAATTTCGACGCGGATTTAAGAAACAGGAATATCTGAGCCCTGTAGTTTAATTTTCTACTACTTGTGAATATCTTCGAATTTTTAGTTTAGTTCTGCGATTTCAGTTAACGCGCAAGGGAAGCGTAGTGTGTTAGCATCGAGTTGACGCATTGTAAATTTTAAAGAGTTTAATAAATAGTACTTTTAACCCTTTTTCTGTGTAGTTCTTACCAGAACTTACTACACGCACGATTCTCACTTAGAAGTTCGACAAGTAGACCCTAAAAAGTGTATGGATTTCAGCAATTTTTGAAAACTTCTTTTAACAGTTATACACTTTAAAACTGGAGAAACGTTAAATTTCAACTTTAATATTAAAAAAAAATTATAAAAATAATTTTTTAAACATTTTTCGAATTTTTATGATATAATTATAAACTCACATAATTTGGTTACCCAAGTCTTTCACAGGTTCAAATCTCGACTGCATGGGAATCTCTGTGATTTTCGTATTTCCTATACAATACGAAATTTATGAATATTGCCTATTCAGTTCAGCTGTCTCGCTCACTCGTATGCTTGTCATCTAGAAGAAATGGAGAAGAGATATAAAATAATAAATAAAGACATTTAAGTTTATTATTATTAAAATCATAAACTTATGAATACATATTAATGTATATGAAATCTAAAGGAACCCATATATATTATAAAGCTGTTGCCATTAGAACACAGGAAAGCGCATTAGATCTATTAGCCTAAGAAAATGGATGCCTTCATGGAGTAAATTTTAATGGAAATCAGCTTGTATTTATATCAGACTCGGTGAAAACCCTGAAGACACGCACGTAGTTTGAATAGTCGATGTAACGGAATTCACCCATATAGCTCTCGTATAGAGCAGCTCGAGCCCGGATCAAACTGTCTGCATTCAGTTAACCACTTAACCACTCGATTGCTGTTGGAAAGTTTTATAAGTTTGTTATATAATTTATACTATTTATAAGTTATTTTGAAAACAGTAATTTGGGGATATTCATATCATTGCGAATACGATTATGTATGAATTCTGAAAAGTAGAGAACAGAAAGTTAATATACAATAAAAATGTAATTGAATAGATATTGCTTAATTTTAATGATTGATATTAAGCTGTCTGATAATAAATTGTAAAGCAGCTTTACTATTTCCAGTTTTATTCCTGTAAAACTGTTATTCTTTGGACTGTTTCTCTTTTTTCCTCTTTATCATTGATCAGAAAGATGTAAAAATGTTTGATGTTTTTTCTATAGTTTCTTTCAATAAGTTGAGTTGATAAATTTCCAGATAAAGACAGAAGTTCGAGTACGTTTTTCTACTAGCTTAATATGTCCGAAATTCTAAAATAAACCATTACCTTTGCTTAGAAAAGAAAGATGTCTGGACAACTACAATACCAGTAGCTTTAGTTAAGTTCCTGCAGGAAATTTTTATGTAAATATATTTTTTCTGGAGTCATAGTATAAAAATAATTAGGTTCGTGCAATCGAAATGTATTTATATCAGAATATCGGATAAAGAATACACTAATTGTATTATTTAGTTTTTTTCTTACAATGATATAATTTAGAGCTACTTTTTTAGGGTAAAAAACTGCTTATTCCAAACAGTATTGCAATGTTAGATAAATGCAATTATTTAAAAAAAACACATGAAACCATAAAAAATATTAATCCACTCTCACATATTAGTTTACTGAACACGTACAGACCAAAGAAGTTCTTGAGAACAGAAATCATTACTTATCTGCTGTTATCAAAGCACTTTCCAAGAAAAACTCTCAGCTTAAAAATAGTTTAGATAAAAGTACAATTCTGCATTAGAAAGGGGAGTCAATTAAAAGAAAGAAATGATCAACTTTTGCAACAGTTGAAGTATGAGAAAAATGAAGTAAGGAAGCTGGTGGGCCAAATGCAGCAGCAAAAAATTTGCATATGACCATGAAATTAGAAAGCAAAAAAATTACGTGAATCAGATGAAGTCAAGAATGAATCAACTTCTAGCTAATAGAAATACAGAAAAGAAAACTGCAAGTGTTATATCATCCAATTTGCCTAAAAGTGTTTAGCAAAGAGAAAATTTGAAAACAGAATCTACTGCAAAGGCGTGTTTAGAAGAAATGTATAGTTCTGCGAGATCTCGCTATCGTGTTAAGGACATGTTGAAAGAAATCAAAGAATATCACCATTGCCTAGAATATATTTGATCTGAGATGCTAGGAATTATTTCGTCAATTGATAAAAATGAGATTCATGAATGTGCTGACAGTGATCATAATGGTCAACCAGTTTCAGAAGAAAAATTTAGATATTATTTTTCAGAAGGAAGAAAACAATTTCTCAGAATGTTAAACCCTACATGAAAGAAAGCTGGGAATAAATGCTCTGGATTCTGCATCATTCAACGAAGAATCAGAGAAGATTGAAAGAAGTGAGGAAGAAGTAAAAGATAAGAATTTTAAAAGTGGCAGTGAAAATAAAGTTTTACAAATGGAACCTGCTAATCAGAAGACCGAGTACATTTTTCTACGGATACTGAAGAAACTTATCTAAAGAAACTTAAGATGAATATTCTGATAGTAATGTAATAGTGCAGCTAAATCAAACTAAACCAAGAATAACTCCTCATTAAAATAGCTTGATTGCACAAAAAATTCAAAGAGAATTTGAAGTTAGTCAAATCAAGTGGAAGTTCAACTCACCATCTGGCCCATGGTGGGGAGGATTCTGGGAAAGACTAATCTACACTGGTAAAAACAATTATGGCACGCGAGTACACTTTTTAAAGTCTAATCGTTTTAAGGCATACCATTCATTTTCTTCCAGTCATTTCAATAGAAGTGAATATAGTGTAGCTGCAAGTTATTGCAAAGTAATTCACTTTTTTCCCTGTAATGTCAGAAAGGAAAACATCTTTGTCGCCGAAAATACAAAAGTATTGGGACTTTTACGAAGGAGTAGAATTTAAACTTACAAATGATGACTATTGCCAAATTTTAGATTTCTGTTTTTGAGAAATTTTATTCCATCAATTCGATGGCAGACTAATTGACTGTTCTAGGTTTTAGAAACATTTAAGATAAATTGAGAAGTTGGAACGATTGAACCTTGTAATAATTTTCCTTTCGGTTCAGGAGTGAGAAAATTTTATCTTATTCAAGATGTGGAAAATTCTTTTATCTGGCCTCTCCAAAGAATTACACAGAAGCTGTGCAACACTTAAAACAAGGTTCTAGACAAATAGGAAATTTTATGCAAATATAATAATGTGAACATTAACTTGAAGTAGATATTTTATGTTTTGAATATTGCATGTATTTTAGAAAGTTTATATTTAATGTTTATATTTTGTTTTTTCTCTCAAAGGTTCTAAAACTCAAGTGGGGAGAATGTTGCGCCGCTTATGGTTAAGTAAATTACCTCAGTTAATACTTTGTTAGATCAAGTACTTTGTTACCTCTATATAGATACTTTGTTACCCCCCTCAGTTTTATCGCCAGACTATGACTAGAACAATAGTTTAAAGATTTTAAAAATAGAAATGAGTTTGTAATGAAGCGGTTTGTTGCAAATAATTGAAATAAAATGTTTACGCCTTTAAAGAAACTTCTTGTCCCTGAGTTTTCAAGCGAGCCGTCTCATTTATATGATGGCCCACCAGCGGCCGAGCAGTAAAGACGCTGAACACTAGTAGTTCGGTCTGAGGTTCGAATCCCGCGAACGGGCTGGCTGCATGGGCGTTTTTCGTGGTTTATCTCATGTTGTAACGTGTATACGAGCCAGTTTCCCTTAGAAAGTCCTCCACGAAGGCATCCCTCCCTTTAGGCAGATAGCCCTCGTGTGCTTTGCCGTAATTGAATAATCCAATCTAATCCATTTATATGATGTAAAAAGTATCTTTAGTCTAAAGTAACCGACACGGATATTCGCATACACTTACACCCCAAATAGGAATAGTATAACCAATATAAAAATCTGATGATCAACACAGGACTTCCTTGCACGAAATATTAAATTATACGCATTTTTTCTTGCATTTCATTTAAATGTATTGGATTGAATTAAATCTATTCGTCGATAGTGGCATAAACCACAATAGAATAAGAGCACATTTTTAAAATTCACTATATTTCTTTACCATACAGTTACTCTGGTGCTATGTTCACAAAACAGCAGCGTTACATTTCGTCCATATTATAACTTAGAATGCATATAAATTTATATAATTTTAAGAATTAACTAATCGTTGCCATATGTTCTATTCAAATACTATAATAAATCTAAAACGATGTATAAAAGAAATTAAGCAAACAAAACAAAAAAGAAACAGTTTTTTCACAGACGATTCAGTATTTCTCATTCAATTAATTCAGTTCTGACTTCCCGACAAGGCAAAAACACATAAAAACTCAAATATATATATATTAAAAATTACGAAGTAAATCTAAAACACTTACATCCTCGAATAAATTCGAGAACGGATTAAGCATGATTTAATTTGCAATAATAAAAGAAGGCGTTATCTTTGTTGTTGCACAGCTTAGTTTCTCTACCTTGGCAACAAATCCGCTATTTTGCCAAGTTTGAAATGTAAACAAACATGTCCGCCATTGCAAACTTCATTAGGCTTAGCTGCACTTAAACAACTTTTAAATTATTGATAACTCCACAAATATTGCATACAAATTTACTAAAGGCATAACAACCTTAACCAGAGGATAAGAACAACATAATTCAATCATTTTTTAAAGCAAAAAATGCACAATTTACAAACATATACATAACAAAATTTCAACGTCCTGAAGCTACTCGTTTTTGAGTTATGCGAGATACGTACGTATGCACAGACGCCACGAGAAATTATCTTCAGAATTTCATTTTAAATCAGTTTTATAATTTTTTTGGGGGGAGAAAGAGTCCTTTTATTCTGTCCTTACTAGCGGATATCACGCAAAAAACATCATTAAATTGCATTGGATAGCGGTCAAAATCGATATTTTCGTTGAAATATGATACCCGAAATTTTTTGTGATTACTACACTTCCTTTTTACTTCGTAGAAGGAAGTAAAAAAAGCGTATAACAACATATAACACTCTGTAAACGTGAACATCGATGAGCTAATATTTGATCAGTGTTCACTGCTCTAATATTTTTTCTCTTTCACCTTTTCTAATATAAGATAACAGAATCCTTATTGGTAATTTTAATTGGAAAATAAAGGATTGCCTAAACTCAGAGACTAATTAAAACTCAGATTCAAGAATCAGCTCCACACACTAGTTGCTGAGACCTAAGTTTACTGTTTCTTTGTGGTACCATTCTGGATTTCTGCTCTGAAGACTTTGGTTACGCTCAAAAATCACTTACTACAAGGCAGCAGTTATCACGCTCATTACGAGAAGGTATCATCATAATAATAGCAAAACAATCGAAAAGTGTCTCCACAGTATATGAAATGAAGAGATTGAGTAAGATTATCCCAGCTTTTCAGAAGATAATTTGTCATAAATTCTCGAAGCATCATAAAAAAAAAAAAAAAAAA